AAATTACAAACGGTAACAATAAAATAACGAACGTTAAATTACAGACATTTCAGGTAAATTGTTGTAATTTACAGTCTGGTATTTTGCGGTAAATTTCTTTACGGCAGTTATTTTATTTTATTTTTTTCAGCACCCCAGCTGCCGGAAAAAAAATAACAGATTTTTTTATATTGTAGGCAAGGCAGATTTATTTATATAGCACATTACATACACAATGGTAATTCAAAGTGCTTTACATAAACAACAATAAAAGAAACAAGAAAATAAAAATAACTGAAAGTATTAAAATTGATTAAAACAGATTAAAATGTGTTAAAACGGGTTATAAAAGAATGAAAAAAAGAAAAGAAATACATAATAGTACGATCTGTCGGGCGTAGCACAGTGCTCATTCAGTAAAGGCACAGATAAACAGATGTGTTTTTTAGTCTTGATTTGAATGTGCCCAATGTTGGAGCACATCTGATCATTTCTGGAAGCTGATTCCAGCAGCGGGTGGTCTTATAGCTGAAGGCAGATTCACCCCATTTTGTCTGGTGAATCCGCCATTTAGTGATTTATAGTTCAATAGAAGTCAATTGCTATTTTTTTACAACATTTTTCAGTATCTTCCTTTGAGTTGCATCACAGAAAGAAACTCAAACAGGCCTGAAATGGAGTGAAGAATGAGCAAATTCAATTTCATTTACAGGTGAACTCTCCCTTAAAGCATTAACCAAATCTATAACATTTTTGTCAAATATTGAAAGTCAATCCAAATCTCTGATGTTTCAAAGCCTTAAAAACTGAATTAGTTTGCCTTTGAAAGATGAATATATTTTTGGAGGTTTGGAAAAAAACATGAGAGTGAGCAAATGATGACAGAATTTCCATTTTTGGCTGAACTAACCCTTTATATTATTTCGGGAAAATCTGTATCCCTCCAAAAATGTTAAATACTGGACTGTTTTAACCCAATTTTAAAGCCAAACTGAACATTAGAGTTAAACATTTAATGTAAACATATCCCTACAGCGGTGTTTGTCCATATTTTCACCCTAACTTTGGTTAAAAGTCAGTATATTTCAGAGTGTACCAGTGATTTCTGATGAGGGATGTCCTGTGGTTGTAACTCTCTCCACCAGACAGCTTTATTGGAAGGTGTGTCCTGCTTTGAGAAGAGCAGCCTGGACTCGTCTCAACCTGCAGGGCAACTTCCTGTTCGTCTACATGTTCATCGACTGCCTGCATTCTCCTGAGTGAGAGTGGGATAAACAGGGATTGGCTCTGGGAGAGTATCACTGTTACCCAATAATAAAGCACCCTGTAGTTAAATGTTCTTCACCGGAAACAATTACGACAGCAGATTAGGTCTATATCTGAAGCATCAAATCGAAATAAATTCCTTTGGTGACTGAACAACATTCTTTCACCTGAGAAGATAATAATTATTACCATGACATTATGACAAATAAAAACAAAATGTAAATGTCCATTTGTGTTATAACGGCTCATTAGAAACCTGATTCTTGATTATGGATCCATGACTCCACTGATCTTGACAGTTTGGCGCCATCTTAAGGCTGAAGTAGGATTTAGAAAATGTTTTGTTTTTTGACATTCATTCATTTATTCCTTCATTTTCTTTTTGGCTTAGTCCCTTTATTAATTTGGGGTCGCAACAGCGGAATGAACCGTCAACTTATCCAGCACGTTTCACGCAGCGGATGCCCTTCCAGCCGCAACCCACTTCTGGGAAACATCCATACACTACGGACAATTTAGCATGCCCAATTCACCTGTACCGCATGTCTTTGGACTGTGGGGGAAACCAGAGCACCCGGAGAAAACCCACGCGAACGCAGGGAGAACATGCAAACTTGACATAGAAATGTCAACTGACCCAGCCGAGGCTCGAACCAGCGACCTTCTTGCTGTGAGGCGACATTCATTCATTCAAAGTCCCTTTATTAATCCGTGGTCGCCACAGCGGAATGAACCGCCAACTTATCCAGCAAATGTTTTAAACAGCGGATGCCCTTCCAGCTGCAACCCATCTCAAAGAAATGTATTTTGCCATCTTAATTAAAGAGCTTGAAAGTCATTATAGACAGGACCAATGTCATTCATTTTCTTGTTGGTTTAGTCCCTTTATTAATCCGGGGTCGCCACAGCAGTATAACCGCCAACTTATCCAGCAAGTTTTTACGCAGAGGATGCCCTTCCAGCCGCAATCTCTGGGAATTATCCACACACATTCACACACTATGGACAATTTAGCCTACCCAATTCACCTGTACTGCATGTCTTTGGACTGTGGGTAAAACCGGAGCACCCGGAGGAAACCCACACGAGGGCAAGGAGGACATGCAAACTCCACACAGAAAGGCCAACTGAGCCGAAATTCGAACCAGCGGCCTTCTTGCTGTGAGGCGGCAGCACTACCTACTGCGCCACTGCCTCGCCCAGGACCAATGTCTTGCGTTTAATTGATAGTTTTGTGACAAGTAGCCGTGTAATAAGCAGGATAATGTACATCCAGCTGGTTATGGAGAATAACAGCTACGTCTGCCAGACTTAATTCTGCGAGAACTTGCTGGATGCACATTATCACGTACTTTATGCACATTACTCACTTACCTAAATTGTAAAGACTCGTGTTAATTTACCAAAGTTAATGCAGGTGTTATAAAGGTAAATGTAAGACGTTTTAACAACCGGTTTTAAAAATAGAATTAAAAATTTGAATGGAACCCAATACGCAAATGTTCTGTAATTTAACATTTAAATGCAGATATCAAGAGCTCCATAACAAAAAAACCTGATGGTTCTCAGTATATTTGTTTTGTTGTCCATTGCAAATATTAAAATAATTTTAAAAGTGCAGTATTTGACACCCAGTGGTTGAACTGCAAGTGCAGGTTGCCAGATTGAGGACCAACAGGAGCGTGTATGTTTATTGAACCTTGAGGCTGATTTAAATTGTGTATCATATAAAAGCAAAGGCACACGATACACTCTCAGAAATAAAGGTACGCGAGCTGTCACTGGGGTGGTACCTTTCCCAAAGGTACACATTTGCACTTAAAGGGTCCTGTACCTCAAAAGTATATAACTAGTACCTACAAATTTGAAGAGGAACACTTTTGTACTATTTTGTTACCAATATGTACCCCTGGGGTATTAATATGGACCTTTTAGGTACAAATCTGAACCTTTCGAAAAGGTACCACCCCAGTGACAGCTCGCATACCTTTATTTTTGAGAGTGTAGAAGTATTATTTTCCATATTAAAAGCACTTTTTGTTCTAACCAACGCCTTGAATTAATAAACTAGAAATGGCATCTATTTCTTGCAGCTGAACAACAGGTTAAATGTTTACCTCAGGTAAACCTCATGTGCTTTATTTAGTGTTTAATGCTAATAGTGTGAGTTCGAATGCCATTTTACATGACATTCATAGCCATACTTCTGACAGCAGCAGCAGCATAGTTCACCTCAGTTCTTAAAAAATATACAGTTTGAAATTGAACTTTAGAACTGTGACTCCGTGATTCAGCATCTACATTTAATAATGTTAAAGAGGTTAAATATGTATTAATTAGATTGTAAACCTCACCATTTCGCTGAAGTGCAGTGTAGTTTTCTGTGCTTCTGAATGGCTGCATTTAAATTTCTGTTTGTTTCGTGGTGCAAACAGCCAAAATGTTTATCACTGCAAATCTCATCATGTTGTAACCTGCTCACCTAATGTTTTCGCTCAAAATATTTATATTATTGGCTAATTAATAACCTCATGTGGAACTCTAAGTCTTAATCTCATTTCGGAGTCTGCTACAGTCCACCAGAGATCACATTTCAGTCACGGACGTATGCTTTGAGAGCCTTTTCCAACAAGGCAACCTGGGGTGAGACCAGAACAAAGACAGACGTTTCGACACACAACACATTAAAAAAACAGAATATCTGACTTCAGCATTGTTTTTTCACATTAACAAGTATGTTCACTTAACATGTTTCTCATATATCTGCAAGCATATTATGGTATTTTTATGCTTTAAAAAAGTTAAAAGCGTACACACAGCAGCTTTATATTATGAGAGATAAAACTGGGAAGCAAAAGTACACGATAGAGGAGTCTTCTTTTCTTAAAATGAAGCACGTTTGTGAGATCCTATTTCAATGGGCTCCAAAATCTACTTACTAATTAATTTTAACACAAGAGCCATTTCCACTCCACATGGACAGATGTTTGTTCCAATACCAACTAACTCAATTTTGTTCAGTTTCCCAGTAAACATCTCAAGTAAACATACCTTTATTTAAGGTTTAGGATTTTATCATTTATTAATATTTAGCATTACATTTTATTTCTAAGTATTTTGTTTTGTTTTTAATTGATGTATTCTTTCAACTTCTTTTCTATTCAGTTTTACAAATTGTAGTACTTACAAAGTTGCCAGAAAGTTATTATTGCTGCCTTTACATGTTTTACACAACATATTTTTATTTCAATTAATGAAAAGGATTCAACAGTTTTAGTTAATGACAACACTGCATAGAACAATCACTGTGTAACTCTCATTGAGCACATGCACTAAAAAAGAAACTTGATTGTATCAAGTAAAATATGTAAACGTAATTTACCAACATTCATTTATTTATACCAATAATCTTTTTTAATTGGTAAATTTTAATTGGTTAAATTATTCTGAAATAGCTCATTAGCAAAATAATGACAGTTTGACACTTTTTAGTGTTTGAAAATCAATTAACACAGCCCCGTATGCACTACAATCCAAAACAAAGCCTGATTCTGTTGGCTTCTTCAGTGATTAATGACCTGCTGTTTATTGCCAAGGTAATGATGCATAGCAATCGTCCTAAAAACCATTTTCCTGTTGCCACTGTCAACTCTACGTTCATTCCTAAACCGAACTCATATTTAAATGAAGATTTTTAGACTTTCACAATGGTCAACAGTGATTTTAGCAGCTGCGTCGAAGACATGCCTCACAACTTTTTTTTAAACAAAGTTAAACTTTATTAAAGAGATATATTACATTGGTGTGGAAACCAGGTGGCTTGAGCAGGAATATCAAACATTGAGGCGACGTTGTTTGAGACAATTCCAAAGAGAAATAAAAAGATCTGCAGCAACATTAAATTAAGAATACAGTGACCTCGGGCACATCCAGTGATTTTACAGAATACGCATTAGATTCCAGTCTACAGTGGACAGAAAACCAAGTTTGTATTAGACTAATTGAGATTTCTCTTTTGGTGTAAATCAAAGTTAGTTAAAAAGAAAATTAAAGTAAAAAATAAAAAGAGAGAGAAATTCCCAGCCCAGGCTAAACGTCAAGTAGAGGGAAATCGTTCCCATATCCATTTGCACTCACCTATGACTTTTTCTAACAAGCAAAAGAAGCAGACAAATATGTCTGAGACTACCACATTTATATTATCGATGATCAACTGACTGGTAGTGTTCCTCTAACATCTTCATCTGTTAAATTACACCAGCGAGATGAGAAAAGAAAAGCGTGTGAGTGCAGGTTGAGGTAATACACTGATCTGATCGTAGCCAAGGCAAGTGCTCTGAAACAGTGTTGAGAGGGAAGCCAAACGTCATCAGTCTTTGATCCACGGGATTCATGTCTGCGGCGAAGAGGAGGATGCATGTATAAAACTCGGGTAAGAGCCGATCGTGTCCTGCTGAATAAAATCTGAGATCAGGACTCTTACGATGTGGTGTTTTATACACTCAGCCTCCAGTCCGGTGTGTGTGTGTGTGTGTGGGCCGCTCATGCCTCCACACCCTCCAGCTCTGGGGGAAGAGGACTCTTGGGGTGCTTGCTCTCAAAATGCTGCTTGAAGGTCTTGGGATCTGGCATTTGTGACTGCAAAACAGAGAGGTTTCAGGAAATCAGGTTCAATGTTCTTCCAAAAGATGTCCTTTAAAAGTTTTTCCATTACAATATCCAAAAAAATTTAATTTTTTGTTGACTTATGTACCTACATTGTACCAAATGTTTTGAAGTCAAGAGAATAAGCAATTTTAAATTAGTGACATGGACTGTGCCTCCATGTTAATGACACCACACAACCTTTGGTTTTTATTGAAAACGCCAAAGACACTTTATGACATTGTGTGTTTAATAGACTGCATAGAGCATAATTAAAAACCTTAAAATGTATTTAGCATGATTAAACAGTCCTGCTTCTTCTGCTTGTTATCAGGATTCAAAGAACAAGAGTCCTGTAGGACAGTGTTTTTTAACCACTTTACTGGAGGACCACCAACACTGCATGTTTTGAATTTCTCTGTATGTCAAACCTAAAGGGCTGTGCGATTTGGGGAAAAAATCTAATTGCGATTTTTTTTTAACAGATATTGCGATTTGATTTACGATATAATTTTGTAGTCAAGCTTCAGCTCAATAATCTGTAAGCCGTGGCAATAATTCTGCGACAGCTTTTATAAATTACATGTTTTTGTTCGGTGACTTTGAAACCAAAATATTCACATATATTTAAATGCTGTTTATCTTTGATATGAATTCGTCTATTATTGCTTCGGAAGCAGCAGATGCCATTAACCCACTTACGTCAGCGCTTTTTTCTGTTTGCTTTCTTTTTTAATATTGTGGCCATAGTCAAGTTGCAAAATTCTGATTGGGCAGAACAACACTGTGCTCGCTCAATTTGCAAGTAAGACTGACACACAGCCGACAGTCACGCATTTGTCATTTGCTCTGGGTGGGGAAAAATTATATATTTTATTTAAAATATACTATATATATATATATATATATATATATATATATATATATATATATATATATATATATATATATATAATTATTAGCAGCTGTAGATTTTTTTCCCAATTTCTGTTTAACAGAGAGACATTTAACACATTTCTAAACATAATAGTTTTATTAACTTATTTCTAATAATTGGTTTATTTTCTCTTTGCCATGATGACAGTAAATATTTGACTAGACATTTTTCAAGACATTTTTATGCAGCTTAAAGTGACATTTAAAGGCTTAACTAGGGTAATTAGGTTAACGAGGCAAGTTAGGGTAATTATACCCAAGTTATTTTATAACAATCGTTTGTTCTGTTGACTATCAAAAAATGTATAGCTTAAAGAGACTAATAATTTTGACCTTAAAATGGCTTTAAAAAATATATTTTTCTGCTTTTATTCTAGCCGAAATAAAATAAATAAGACTTTCTCAAAAAGAAAAAAATCATTATCAGACATTACTGTGAATATTTCCTTGCTCTGTTAAACATCATTTGGGAAATATTTTAATAAGAAAAAAATAATTCTCATATTGCAGCTTCTTGCTATTAACTAATCACAAGAATTTAATTTGAGATTGCAATTTAATTGATTATTTGCACAGCCCTAGTCATACCCAAGTCTCAAGAGTCAAAAAAATCAGGACCTAACCAGTTTGGTTAGGATAACATGGAAAAATGTGAAGAGTTTGTGGTCCTCTGTGAACGTGGTTGTGAAGCACTGCTGTAAGATGTAACGAAGATGAAAACTCCCATACAAATGGATTTATGTCCAGTTGAAATTAGCAAAATTCAATAATTATGAAAAAAGCTCTTTATTTGAAGCAGTCAAATGGCTTTTAGTTATTCAGATTAGGGCTGCACAATATGTAATTTTAGCATCTGTATCACAATGTGTACATCCACAGTAATCACATCGCCTCAGATATCCAATGTTAAGTCTGAATTATAGTTAAGCAGGAGATACAGAACTGCATTTAATCACTGTAGTATACAGCATTTATGAGTTATGCAATTTTTTGTTGTGTTTCTAGTCCAAATATCTTCAAAGTGAGAATAAAATAATTTAGCCCACTGGCAGATAATTTAGCTTGTTTTAAAGAAAAACTCTTGAAAAAACTGATACATCTTCTGGACTATAAAAGAAACAAAACAGTAAGAAAAGCATTTTTACATATTAGTTATACAATTTCTGTACCTGAATACTCCGTTAGACTTCCCAGAAAAACCCTCAAATAGTGCTATTTATGACTTACAAACCATCCCATGAAACTGTGTTTATACCACAGAAAAAAAAAAACATCTGATTTATCCAAAATCGCGCAGCCCTAATTTAGATCAAACTTTTAATTGTGGATCTTTATCACTGACGCAAAGTTTACCAGTTATAAAACACAGTCAAATTAACTGTAAAGCAGGTCTACAGATAGCTCATCTCCAAGTAGAATGTTGCTGAATTTCAATCACCCTGAGAAAATGCTCTTTTTGAGTTATCACAAGGGTCGAGTGATGGAAATACCAAATTCATTCATTCATTTTCTTTTCGGCTTAGTCCCTTTATTAATCTGCAGCAGGAATATAGCGCCACTTTAAGAATAGTGCGGCTCTGATATAGTTTCTCTTTCATGTGTCTTTTGATTCTCAACTTGTTTGTTTATTACACAAAAGAGGGTTAATATAAATAACCAAGAAACACCGCGCTGACACAAATGTGCATGTATTTGACCATTAAAGCGTTCACATTAAGATGGCGTTAGATGTGTGTGCTCTAAGCCTGTGTCCGAGGCTAAGCGCGGCGCACACACACAACAGCACGTGCTCTTTCACGCTTTTAAAAATATATGAATGATTCGAACGTACATCAATGAATAATGTGCATCCCGTGTTGCAAAAGTTACATTACAGTACATGCTTTTAGTCATTTTCACGTGGAACTGAGCTTTGCAGAGCAACAAATGTGTACAACTGGAAAAGGGGCGGTATATGACGAAATAATCGTTTATCTCGGTTAATGGTTTTTCATAATCGTTAGAAATCGAAATCCAAACCTGATTTTCGATTAATTGCACAGCCCTAGTAAAAGAAACCATTTTTAAATTATTTTAAAATGTTGCCGACAAATGAGTGAAACCTAGTGGTCTGCAGTATAGTAAGACAATAAATACAGTTAAAGTCAGAATTATTAGCCCCCATTTAATTTTTTTCATTCTTTAGCAAAATATTATTTACTGTCATCATGGCAAAGATAAAGTAAATCAGTGATTAGAAATTAGTTATTAAAACTAGTATTATTAGAAATGTGTGAAAAAAATCTCCCTGTTAAACAGACATTGGGCAAAAAAACAACAACGAACAATTCAGGGGGGCTAATAATTTTGACTTTAACTCTATAAAAATTACTGTATTTATTTATAGTATACTAATGATCAATTGTAATTAGTATACTATACTAATTAGTATATGTCACCAAACAATTAATGTTTGAAATATGCCTGCCAAGATGTTTTGTTATATAAAAATAATTACACTTTAATTATATTTAAGTGGGAGTCTTATGTAAATCATTGTTAAAGAAAAAAAATAAATAAAATATATTATTATTAAATATATATATATATATATATATATATATATATATATATATATATATATATATATATATATATATATATATATATATATATATATATATACACTCACACAACTCCTCTGTCTGGTTCTCAAATCTGATTGGCTGATAGCCGTGTGATATTCTGCAATATCAGAACTCCTACAGCCTCTTTACCCTTTGTGTATTACTCCGCCCACATACAGCCAGGAAAAAGCAGACACTACAGATCTAAAGTTTAAAAGATGTACGCTCAACGGTTTAACTGTCAGCTTATGATTTGAATCCGGAAGAAAGTAGTTCCTCATACAAAAGGGTTTTTGAGACTCTCCATGTTTGATTTTATTTTTATATACACAATTATGCCGTCAAACTGTTGTATAAACCCAATATCACAATTGTAGCAGTGCGATATGGCTGTATATCGGCACTGGTGGGGGCACTAAGGCACTCGCCTGCGGCTTCGTGCCAACGCACGCCTCCCACCAGTGCCGATAAAAAGCCATATCGCACTGCTACTCGTGTGATATTGCTCGTATATATATATATATATATTATATATATATATTATATATATATATATTTTTTTTTTAATCTTAAAAAAATTAAACATGATACTTTCTAATGTACAGGTAAAAAAAATCATACATTCATACATTTACATTTTTATCACTATTAAGCTTGTAATCACCGTTTTTCATGTGACCAACGTGTCACACCATCCAAAAAGTGTATGAAGGCAAAATGGATTGTGACTGCGAACACAATTTTACTGTAACATAAAGCTGTTAAATGCTTATGCATGACTCTAAGTTACTGTAATTGGTGGAAGGTGTGCCGACAAGCCTGATTTGTTACCATCACTGAATAACTTTCATTGTCAGAAACAAGTTCTAGCACGAGAACAAAGTTTCCCAACATTCATCTCACACACACCCTTACCAAAAATCAGCATTATCTCCTCGACATATACAGTGCTAACATGGGTTCTTCCTTTTAGTTTTGATAAATAAATGTCTATAAAGCATTTACTCCAATAAGCTTAAAAAAGTTGGCACCAAAACACAGTTGTAAGGAACCTCCTGGATGATACGTTGTGGTAAAAATAACCAGCTATAATTGCCACTGACCCTGCAGACAGCACATGTGAACACCAGTGCCGCTTTCGCTGCGGTCTTCTGGTCGTGGCCTTTGGATTTCTTGATCTCCGCCTGCTTCTTGGCGTTTTTCTGCTGAGACTGGATTTTTTGATGTCCACGAGCCATTCTGTTGGATTGATGACAAACTGACGTCAACAACACACATGAGTCACAAGTCAGTGGATTTACATACCCTGCTGTACAGAACAAACAAGCAACAACTGATAAACAACATCAATTTATCTGTGTTTGTGCGCATGCTATCTTGCAGCAACCCAAATTCCACATCATTTATAGTGCTAATAAAAATATTGTTTGATAAAGGTCCACCAGCATGGCATGCAGCATTTACAGTATATACTATTTTACTAACACACACACACGCACAGTGTACATTATGTTTTGCTTTGGCTTGGTTTAAAATAATAACACAGGCAGACAGCTGATGTTGTTGCTTTATATAGTGATAACCGAATACAGTGAATAAAAGACTCGGTGAGATTTATAATCATGTAATAAAATGAAATAAACAATTAACAGGCATTATATTATTTAACATTTTAAAAATTGTGAATTGTATGATGAATTTGTCGAGCCTTACCTTTCAATATTAGCTTTTTTGGGCTAACTTAGCTGTCAATGCTGGATAGCCCATTAGCTTCTCTGTTAGCACTATTGCAAACTACACATCGATATACTTCGATAATTTAGAATTTAAAACAACGCACAGAGGCTTATAAACCATGTCTGATATAAATCATCGGATACATAAAGAGTTCCTGTAGGGTAGTGCGCGAAGATACTGAGATTAACGTTAGTTAAGACCATATGGTTAGCCAGCTAACGTTAGCATGCTAAACACTAACAAAACCAGCAGGTCCTTAGACGCGCGAATTTACACTTAAACCACTTTGATATGTGTTATTATCGCACGACTATCTGTTATTTTATATTATCACCTAAATATTATGGTCATACCTGGCGAACAGATGAGATCCGTAAGCAGCTACGAGCTTGTAATATGTAGTCCCGCACGCTTGTGACAGCTGTGCTCTTCCCAGATCGATTCACATGTAGTTCCTGCGATGACCACATCAACACCGAGCGCTAGAGAGCGACATGCGCTCTGCACAAGTACAAAGCATAACCTACTTGCCTAACATATCTATGCTTGCTGAAAAGGGACTTTACTGTAAGCCTAGTTTATTTTGTTAACAGATGGAATAATCTATCCAACCTTAGGGATATCACGGAAAAGATTGGCGAGGAATAAAAAAGCGTAAGCGACACATACTTTTAAGCATACATATTACAATCTCGTTCTAGCTTTCAATTATTTTTTAGCACATTTCAAGGCATGTTAACAACAAACTTTATCAAGTTAAACTGAAGAAAAAAAAAATAAGGAAATAGGAAACAAGCCAAAATAGTTTGATCCACCAACATTCCCTTGTGGTTTACTGTTACTTTCCCGTTTGACCATTTTTGTGGAACCAAATTAGAAGTAAATGTTTCCTGTTGGTTCTTTTGGGCAGCACAATTACTGTTACATTTGTTGTTCATTTGCTTTATCATTGCTTATTCTTTATAGAAATGCTGCTTCAATGTTGCTATGAGTGTCTACTGCTGCTCATTCTCCAACGGGCACTTAGTAGTGAAAACAATCATGGCCGCCATATTGAAATGCAGTTCCAAACTGAAGTGCTGAAAACTGGCCACTTTAAAGGGCCCTCCAAAATGAAGGATTTTGAAGGGTATTTAAACTGATGGACACTTAAGGCTCGTCTCTATGCCCTAATCCGTTCAAAACTGTCACTTCAAAGTTGGGATCACCAAACATGGACCCGGAGGGTCAGTGTCCAACTTGCCTCAACACACCTGCCTGGATGTTTCAAGTATGCATAGCGTATGTCTTAATCGGGTCTCTAACTCTATAGGTCGTCGATAAAATTCAGCCTCTAGTAAGGACAGTGATAAGCTTGGTTTGCAACACACTTGGAAACTAAATGTGACATAAAAACATACTCGTTGTACATCATCAAAACTGGAATTTAAAACCAATAGCAGAAGTAATATTAATCATAAATTATTTTAGAAAGTTTTTAAAAGTACATTATAGCTAAATTATTTGCTTGTTTCATTTACCAGCAATTAAACATTAAATATTATACATTTCTGTTAAGGCATCACTGTGGTGCAGTGGGTAGCATCACAACAAGAAGGTCGCTGGTTCGAGCCTTGGCTTGGCCAGTTGGCATCTCTATGTTCTTCTCATGATAGTGTGGGTTTCCTTTGTGCTCCAGTTTCCAGTTTTTAGATAAGTCAGACCGGATAAGACTAAGCCGAAAAGAAAATGAATGAATGAATGAACATTTCTGTTAAATAGTTTTTGTCTTAAATAATAATTAATACAAATTCTTTGTAGACAAACGTCTCTTGTTTGTGATTATGTTTGATGATTTGATTGATTCATGTTTTACGCTTCCCACATTGTCAACTACATTGCTACAACTTGTACAGTCTGCAACTCTTAGCTTGTTCAGGTGTGATTGGTTTGGGTTGAAGCTAAAATCTGCATGACACCGGCCTTCTAGGACTGTGTGGGTTGACCAGGGGTGGACTGGGACCAAAATTCAGCTCTGGCACTGTAGCCACACCAGCCCACATTACCACACCGACACAGCCCCACTCACGGGCATGCACAATCACTACTTATATTGGTGTGCAAATGTTGAAATAATATAAGCAGTACCATATTTAATAGATATTTAAACATTTAATGTATGCGAGTGGAACAAAAACAACACATTTATAACAAATTTATACATTCATTCATTTTTTTTCGGCTTAGTCCCTTTAAAAATCAGGGGTCACCACAGCGAAATGAACCGCCAACTTATCCAGCATATGTTTTGGGAAATTTTAGCTTACCCAATTCCCTTATAGCGCATGTCTTTGGACTGTAGGAGAAACCAGAGCACGCAGAGAAACCCCACATCAACATGTGGAGAACATGCAAACTCCACACAGAAACACCACCTGGCCCAGCCGAGGCTCAAACCAGCGTCCTTCTTGCTGTAAGGCAATACTGCGCCACCGCAATGCCCCCTTTTTTTGCTTTTTCGACCTACCGATTAGGTCGGACTGGGTCGGCCCATCTAGAAACCAGCTGGCCATTACCGATTGGGCCAAATGCTTAATATTTATTATCATTATTAGTAGTATTATCATCATCATCATCATATTCACATCTTGGAAGAGATAAAAGCTGCCTGCATGTAAAAAAGATACATAAAAAAATTCATTCAAAAAATAAAAAACTGACCGGACCACATTTGAAAAATGGTCCGGTCCATCTGGCATTTGCCAGAATTGCCAGATGGCCAATCCGCTCCTGGGGTTGTACCCTGCTCCATAGGGTGTAAAGGTATTTGGGCGTAGGGACAGGCCCTTTTTAATTCAACGTAGTCTGGATGTGCAGTCAAATTCAATGTGGATTGTGGGTAAAAAGCTGCACATTAAGTTTGTCAACAAAATGGTACAGTATAACAAAATGTAGTGTATAAAAAATGGTCCAGTATTGCGCATTAAATAGAATAATGTTGGCAGTTTCAAGTACAGTATGGGATAATGGGGGCAGTTTTCAGATAGACACAGCTTTTGATCCATCAAAACGGTTTCAACTTTAGGGGGGCTTGTAAAATATATTTATTTATATTTATATTTATTTCCAAAAAAGGGGAGTGTTCATTTAAGTGTTCGTAGCACATCTTGAAAAGTAAAGCTGAAACATTTGAGCACCCCCTGGTGGCTAGCTAAAGTATCGGTCATAAACCCCGTCTAAACAAGTGGGATTCAATCTCAGGTTCTTTTTTATGCCGAGATTTATTCAAGAGGTAGCTATGCACTGCTATTAAATACTAATAATATACTTGTCATATGAATTTATAGACAAGTGGTTAAAATGCAGTTTTATATATTAAAAAGATCCTTTTTGGCTTGACTTTCCAACAGTGGGAAGATGTAAAGCTTTTCTCTCTACAACAGTACACACTGTTCAGATAGAAGAATTATATTTGCACGCATTACATCAAATCAATTGGCTGAAATATTTGAAACTCTCACAAAGCTTAATGGTTTCAATGGCTATAATGGGGATTGTATTTGGTTTAATGAAATCTTATCTATTGGTGGAAAGTTAAGCAAATTACTATATATCACTAAAGACCACTAATGTCTGGTGGAATATCATCACCTTGGAATTAAAGTTCTCTCTGTGTTCTAGATGATTTTGAGATATTAGGCTTCAAAGATTTTGCGTTCCACAGCAAATGGATTGTGTGTAACATTTGTGTTTAAATAAAAAGTCTTAAATGTTAACAACTTATAAAAACATCTCATAATGTAAATAAGTTGTCATTTAATAATAATAGTTGTCAATAACTCAATTTTGACAAAAATTTCAGATAGGACCTTATAATTCTAAGGTGTCAATATGTCAAAGCACACTTGAAAACCAGAAAATGTAAAATGATTTAACTTTTGATGGTTTGTAAATGTTTAATATGTTAGACGGCTGCCACTGGACTCAATATTTATTGCACTCTTTATATAATTATTGAGCCAAATGCTTAAATTAAAGCTCTAATTATAATAATTTCAATGCAATAAACTACTACTACTATTTAATTGTAACATATTTTTCTTTTGTCACTACAAGTTTGTAAACAGTTTTACTAAGATAAGCTGGTTCAATTCTAGTGGGATCTAATGAGATAATTTCCCTACATGGGATGTATTGCAAACCGTATTTTCAAACCAACAGGGGGCACTGTTAATCTTTTAAAAACCATTGTTTCCATAGTATTAGTTCATCCTATGGAGGTCAAAGGTTACAAGTTTTCAGCTTTCTTCTAAATATCTTCTTTTGTGTTCAACCAAAGAAAAACTCATAAAGATTTGGACACTTAAGGGTGAGTAAAAAATCAAATACCAAATTTAGATTTTAGAGGAACAGTAAAAATAGACAAATATGCCAATTGAATTATAACAAACAAACAAACAAACAAACAAACAAACAAACAAACAAACAAACAAACAAACAAACAAACAAACAAATATGGTTGTTGTTGCTATTGCTAAAATTATATATCATATATTCTGTATATTTAAAAACAGAAAATCTTAAAAGAAAGTCTGTGCTAGTTGTTTTTTTCATGCAGTTACAATAAAGGCTTACAAAGGCTTTCAAGCATACACCAACTATTACTATTACACATACTATTTGTGCCTTATTTTTATAAATAAAAAAACTGAAAAGAAATTAACAAAAAAACTCAATTCTTCTTCTGTCATATTATATAATTGTAGAAGATTCGTCTTTGATTGACTGATGAAAAAAAAAAATCAACAGTTTCTTTCTAATAGTAAAAGAGCACTTTTCTGTTAGCATTTCAAAGAACAAGTTTGCATGTAGACGACGGCACAATTTTTATTGTTTGTATAACTTGTTATAACTTTCTTTTAAATAAAAATATATAAAATTTATAAACGTTTTACAATTTTTAAGAAATAAGTGACAAAAAAAAACTCCTACATTTCCTATTTGGATTAAATAAAACGGAAACCGGCCAAGTGAGAACAAATATCAGCACAAACCTATAGTGAAACATGAAGTTCTCAGTTCCAGCTAGGAGAAAGAAAGTGTTCTGCGGATGTGCGAACAGAAGGAAATTCGTTAGGCTTTCGTGATATGGAATTTCTGAATATGCAAAACACAGTTGTTCTCTAGCTTAAGGCTATATGACTGCAACATGTTAGTAAACATATGTGTATGTCTTGTGTTTTTTTTCTACCCAGGGGAAACCGTATCAATGTGAGATATTTTCCCTGCCACTAGTATCATGTTTCTTTACTAATCTATTCAAATCATAAGAAAGAAAGATTTTGGGTACAAAACCATTCAATATGAAGGCCAATTAACAAATGTGTGGT